TATGACCATGTAGATCATTGTTTCAACCATTGTTATATATTTGCAACAAATCTTGTACAAAGGTTGTAAAGTAAGGTGTCTATGGAAATGGTATGATTTGCTGAATATGATTATGCTATTTGTATGCATGTATCATTTTTGTACTTGAAGCTATGAGTATTGGCTCTATACCTGGATTTCAAATGTTTGTTCCTGGAGTAACACCCACAAGGTAGTTAGTGAACACATCTTGAAGGGACTATTCAAATTAAGTGGCTCATCAAGGGACACTTAACTCATAATTGACCAGTGGAGATACCCATCTACACTAAATGGACTTTCCTGTGGACGTTCCATCTGAAGTATAGGTAATGGCTTCCTGCTATGACTAAGCAAAATTGTGCATGGACGTGTGACTTGCCCATATGACTCCAAACACCATCTTGTCACCTGTGATTTTTCACTAGCTGTGCTGAGGGCTTTGTTTGAAACAATAGGTTTCCCTCTACATGGCAAAAGCTATAAAGGCCATAGAAACACCTCCATTTTGCCTCTTTCCTGCTCAAACCTCTGGACTATAGACTTATACTAATAGGAGCTTTCTACCCACGGGATTGAGGACCTTCCAATGATTTGGAAGCAACCAGAGACTTGACTTAAGCCTGCAGTTTATTCCATCACTGCTACAAACCTGATCCAAGAACTTGGCAATTATTGTATGTATTTGATTCCTTTAACCAACTTTAACTCTCACCTTTCTTTTTTCTTTTTATAAATAAACCTTTAGATACCAAAGGATTGGCAACAGTGTGATTTTTGGGTAAGATCTGAGCTATATAGTGACCTGGGCGTGTGGCTGGCCCTTTGGGATCAGAAGAACCTTTTGTTTGATGAGACTGGTTTTAAAGAACCACTCATCTTTAAATCCAATGTTTTTGGTGGTGATACAAGGACTGGAATGCCTAAGGAAACTGCTTTTCTGACTTCTTATTAGCCAGAGTGGTGAAATAGAAGTTTACTTTTGTTGCTGGCATGGTATATCTCATGGGTGAATAACCTCCAGTTTTGGGGTGTATCTGCCCTATTTTGTCCTGAATTTGGTATTCTCAGTTGTGACCCCCCCCCCCCCAAAGGCATGGTTACATCTTGACAAATTGGAGGACTGGTCTGAAATAAACAAGATGCAATTCAATACAGACAAGTGCAACATGCAACATTTAGGAAGAAAAAAAATCAAATGCACAAATACAAAATGGGGCATAAGTGTCTACACAGTAGTGCTGTTAAAAAGGATCTGGGGGTTATGGTGAATCACAAATTGAATATGAGTCAATAATGCGATGCCATTGCAAAAAAGGTTAAAATCATTCTCGGACGTATTAATAGGAGTGTCGTATGTAAGACCCAGGAAGTAATTGTCTGCTCTACTCGGCACTGGTGGGTCTCAGCTGGAGTACTGTGTCCAGTTCTGGATGCCACACCTTAAGAAAGATGTGGACAAACTGGAGAAAGTCTAGAGGAGAGCAACAAAAACAATAAATTTAGAAAACCTGACTTACAAGGAAAAGTTACAAAAACTGACCATGTTTAGTCTTGGGGAAAAGAGTGAGGAAAAACCTGATAACAGTCTTCAAATATGTTAAGGGCTGTTATAAAGAGGACAGTGATCAATTGTTCTCCTTGTCCATTGAAGGTAGAACAAGAAGTAACTGGCTTAATTGATAATGATTTAATGATAAATGTCTATCAGGGATGGTCTAGACAGTATTTGGTCCTGCCATGCGGGCAGGGGACTGGACTCGATGACCTCTCGAGGTCCTTTCCAGTCCTAGAATCTATGAATCTATGAATAATCTGTAGTCAGGGAATAATCTGTAGTCAGGTAAGATATTAAAAAACTTTCTAACTGTAAGGATAGTTAGGCACTGGAATCCAAGGGAGGTTGAGGAATCCCTGTCATTTGAGATTTTTAAGAACTGGTTAGACCAGAACCTGTCAGGGATGGTCTTCTAGGTTTACTTGGTCATGCGTAAGCACAGGGGGCTGGTCTTGAGGTCCCTTCCAGCCTTACATTTCTATGATTTCTCACTCAAGCTAAAGGGTTCAGCACCAGATTAAAAAAGGAAATGTTTTAATTTGAAGAAAAAAAAACCCAACCAATTTGCTTTATTTGTCTCTGGGTAAGTGACTGAGATCAGATGTCTAAGCCTACTTGTGCCAGTCACTTGTTTGACAGAAGCACTGTCTTGTTTGCTTAGCTTCGTTGTTCTCACATCCTTCACTCATCATTACACAAAGAAGCTATCAATGCCTAGTGTTATCCCACTGGGATGATGTGCTGCCTCCTCGAGAATGGGGAAAAAAAACACAGGAGAAAACCATATAAATGGAACAAAATACAGTTGCTTTACTCTGGCTCAATACCCCACTGTATGGCCACCAATTTGTTGTGAGTGTACCCACTCGCTGGGTCCCACATGATTCCAGCTCAACTAGATACAGGTATCAAGTATCAGAGGGGTAGTCGTGTTAGTCTGGATCTGTAAAAAGCAACAGAGGGTCCTGTGGCACCTTTAAGACTAACAGATGTATTGGAGCATAAGCTTTTGTGGGTGAATACCCACTTCGTCAGATGTGGGCATTCTGACAAAGTGGTTACATGCGTCTGACGAAGTGGGCATTCACCCACGAAAGCTTATGCTCCAATACATCTGTTAGTCTTAAAGGTGCCACAGAAACCTCTGTTGCTAGATACAGGTAGAGTCTAGTCACTCTTTCTAGCTCTGGGACTCCAGGGCATCCCCCCCGGCTCCGACCGCTTGTCAGACGCCTTTCCTTGGACATGGGATGCCACTGTCCAGCTGCCTTAGACCTTGAAAGCAGTGTCTCTCCTGAGCTCCCCGTTCACTTACACATGCTCCCACAAAGCTCCACCTAGGCTGTGGGCTCTCTGGGCTTCTAGTGTAACCCCTCTGGAAACAAAGCGGCATGAAAGCAAGGAACACAGGCTTAGCAAAGGAATTTCTTAACCACAGTCTTTAATCTTAAAGCACTTGAGAGTTACAGAACATTAGACATAACAAGAGTTCTCAGATGCACCCTCCACTAGTCTGAGCTCACCCCTTCTTTTGAGTCCAAGGGTCAGCAGTGTTTCGGCATGCACGGAGTCCCTCCTGCCAGTACTTCAATGTGGCCCCCTCTGCCTGCACAGAGCAGAAGACCCCTGCTCTTAAATAGAGCCTCTGTCTCTGAGCCATGTGGACAGATGGTGTAGTTACAGATCCAGCAGTCAGGTCTGTGTTCCCACCCCATGTGGGCTCATGTAGAAAAACCATTGCTTCCTGGGAGTGGGTCAATAATTGAGAGACAAACAAAATCAGTGGCCCTAGCTTGCTGTGTGATGGCTCTTAGTGTAGTTCTTCAATGAGGTGTTAAACAATTCTCCTGAGCCGGGCCACTGGCTGGAACACAGTACAATAGGTTGCCCTCAGACAAGGTTAGCCTAGCTGTCAACATCTCTACAAAAAGAGCTCATAATTTGATACAGACATATCCTATTGTGTCACAAGAGTACTCTCCTGCCAGGAGAGAGGGATCAACAGCCTACAGCCCAGGGAGCTAAATGATCACCTTCAGGCTGCAGCTGGTTCTCTCCCATAGACTTAAAGGGCCAGCTAATGGGAAAGCCTACGAGGAAAAGCTCAGATAAGGTGGTAAACTCAAAACGGGGAGTTCAGTAAAGGCCACGTAGTCAGAAAATCATGAGGTGGCTGATTTTCCAGCTTTCTAAAGGCTCTGGTGGATATGGGTGAGAAACAGCCTGTGTTTTCCAGAACTGCAGCCCAGCATGCTACAGATTTCAACTAGTTATGTCTTTCCTTTACTCTGCTATGGTGTTCTGCTGATCTATTCCGATCCTTCAAGATCTTGGCTCTTTCCTTCAATTGAGATTTGCTACCATGTCACCATGCTCCCAGTGAATATTTAGTTAAAGATCATCATCTTCTTCTCCGCCCCTGCTTGTCTCTCGCACTCTCCCGGGCCAATGGCCATTTGAGTCAGGGCAATGAGTCTAAACAAGCTGCAGAACTCAGAATTCAGTCAGGATGGCTGACAAAGGCAAGGGAGAAGAAGGAGCTGATTGGGTGTAGTAGTAGCTGGCTCTTCTCCTCTGTACTCTTTATTAAGTCAGGGGTAGCCAAAGGTGCAATCTGCAGGCCGAATGTGGCCCAGAAAGCCCTAAAATGCATCATCCCACAGCTGCCTTCATGTCCACTACAAAGCTGCAACTCACAGACTGCAAGTCCCAGTTTCTCTGACTGAGCTTGGCTAGTATCTGGTATATTTACAAGTGTACCCATCACTCCGTGCCTCTTCTGCTCCCTGCAGAGGCTGACATACATCTACAGACCTTGTGTGTCTGTGTTTTAAAACAGCTGACAGTTCGGATGAGTGGAGTGTAATTGTTTCAAGAGTAGGAACATAGGAATTGCCAGACTGGATCAGACCCATAGTCCATCAAGTCTGGTATCCTGTCTCTGACAGCAGCCAGCACCAGATGCTTCAGAGGAAGGTGTGTAAGAACCCTGCTGTAGGCAGACCTAGAGTACCTTGTCCATGGGGGAATATTGTTCCCTAATCCCCCATTAATGTAAGGTTGCTTTGTGCCTTGAAGAATGAGGGTTAAATATCCCTTCTTTCATAACTCCTGGGTTTTGTTAAGCCATATGACTAACACTGGCTATTCTTATTAATCATACAAATGTCCAATTCTTTTTTTAATCTTGCTAAATTTGTGGTCTCCACAATTACCTTGTGGCAATGAGATCCACAGGCCAATTGTGGGGGGGGGGGGGGGGAAGGGTTTCCTTTAACAGTTTTAAATTTTCTGCCTTTCAGGTTCATGGAATGTGCCTTCTGAAAGCTTTCTAGATTTACCCCCTTGGTGGGGCTAACACTCAAGCCAGAATGGACTGGCCAGTCTGCTTAGGAATCTTACTCTCACTCTCCCTTCTACCCAGGCGGGGAATCCTGGCTCAAGGAGGGACAATCCAGTCAACATCAACCACTATGCAACTAAGAAGAGTGTGGCAGAAAGCATGCTGGATGTGGCGCTGTTCATGGCCAATGTCACACAACTCAAAGCGGTGCTGGAGCAGAGGGTTTCATTCCAGTATTATGCCACCCTGATATCGCTCATCAGCATCTCTCTCTTCTTCCAGGTGGTGATTGGAATTCTTCTTATCATCATTGGTAAGATATCTTCTGAGCTTCTGTTTGCCTCCACTGTCAGCAGCAATCGGGGTCATGGAAGGAGGAATGGGGTGGCTGGTGCAAAGACCCACATTATTTCTCCTTCAAATTAGAGAATCTACCAGCAAATGCATTTCTTCCTTCTCCATCTTAGCCTCGAGCTTTACCACTCCTTCACTCCTCTGCTTTCCCATCACTGTACCCCTGTACTAGGGATGGGGAATTGTTTCTGGCATCTCCCCACACTGCACCCCTTCATGTTGCACTCCCCCAGAGTGACCTGCACCACATCTTTGCACTCTGCCCCCCTCCATACTGTCCCTGGCTTGTGGCCTAACAGAATGATTCAGCCTGCGGTTCTATCCAACCCTCATTTAATTGATCCCAAATCTGTCCTTGTGCTGTGTGTACAATAGTTAACTGGGGTCCCTAGTGTTTCAGCTGGTCCTAGACATGTGCCCAGAGGCCCCTTGCTGTTGTGGTTTGTAGTGGTTCTGTGGTCCTCCTCCCTGTCAGACTCAGAGGCTACCCTGCCTCACAACATCAAACAGCAAGCAGTCAATTAGCAGACTAGGGCTCTGGCCCTCTGGTCAGGGCAGAGTAACAGGGACTCTTTAGTCCAAGAGACAATTTACACAGTCTGTAGATCTGGCCCTCTAGGCAGGGCAGAGCAATGAGCAGTCTTTAGCCAAAGCCTCCTGGCTTGGGTAGACAGCAATTAACACCTGGGGCTCAGGCTTTAGCTTTAGCTTCAGACTTCAGGCTGGAGCAGACAGCAGTCACAGTCTAGGGCAGAGGTCCCCAAACTGTGGGGCACACTCCCCTAGGCGGGTGCAGAGGAACGTTCGGAGAGCGTAGCGGGCCCGGGCCAGCCCCCCTGGGGGGCAGGGAAGGAGCACCACCCAGCCCCTCCCCACCACCGGCTCTGCTCCAACCCTGCCCCAAGCTATGGCCCAACTCCTGTCCCTGCGCCTGGCCCCATCTCCAGCCTCAGCCCCGGCCACAGCTCCGCACCCGGCCACAGGCCCAGCTGCCAGTCCCCACTCCAGGCTGGCTGTGGCTCTGCTCCTGCCCCTAGCCTTGGCCCCTGGCCACATCCCTGCTCTCAAACCCACCCCCAGTTGCAGCTGCAGCCTTCTTACCCAGTCCATGCCCCACCCCCCAAAGCTGCAGGCCCTGCTCCCAGCCTGGGGGGTTGCGAACAGGGGCAAGAGGGGGGGGCGTGACCCTGAAAAGTTTGAGGACCACCGGTCTAGGGGCTTTCAGCCCCCTGGCTGGGGCAAGCCACAAACAGGGCACAGGCCTGCTAGCCTAAGGTAGTAGGCCACCTCCCATGGGGTGGTTTTAGCAGCAGGGGGTAGGGATACCCAGGCCCACACTGCTCCACCAGGGCCAGCCCAGGGCCCTAACAGTGTTAGTGATCCCATCACCCGGTCAGTGGGGAAGTCACCAAAACACACTGACTCTTCCCGGCAACACAACCGGACTAATGTCTGGTTCCCCATGGCTACTTCCTACCGCCCATCCTTGGCGTGGCTCCGTAGTCCATGGATCCTCAGGGTAAATGGAGGATGGCAATCCCAGCAACTCCTCTCCACAATCAGTCTCCTCCAGGGGCAGGGCACTGCACAGCTCGGTCCCTGGTCCAGAGTTCAGCGGCAAGGTACAGCAACTGAGCTGACGGCCCGTCTTGTCCCGCCCCTCTGTTTCCAGCACAGGGGGCAGGGCTGTCTTGACTTTGCTCACCAGGGGCATGGGGCAGTTCCTCCCCCTCAGGCTCAGAGGGAGGCCACTCTGCCTCACTACAGGGTGCCTGCTCTGTCAGCACACGCATCTCCAGGGCCTCCCACACCTGCTCTGGCCCCCTTCTCCACACACCCACTTTGAAGGAGGAGCTCGAGGAGCCAGCTCTCCCTAAGCACCTTTCCCCTCCTACTGCCCCTCATTCAGTGCCCTCACCACTTGTGGAAACCTTTCCTGACCCTCATTGACAAGCACACCAGTGCCTCTATCATGTGTCTAAAAGCCTCCCATTGCCTCCTCCCATGATGCCAAGAGCCCTTCCTTGCACCTCCGGGCTGGGCTATGTAGAAAGTTAGGTTGACCCAGCTAGGTCACTCAGGGGTGTGAAAAATTTGCAGATTTACCATAGCAACAGGAGACCCCCCCCTTCCGTCACTGTAATAAGAGTCTACACTACAGCGCTGCAGCAGCACAGCGGCAGCTATGCCGCTCTAGTGTTTCTAGCATAGACATCATGGTCTTACTTGGCAAAAGTCTCCACAGACCCCATCAGGCCTGGAGCCTCCCTTCAGCTGATAAACAAAGGCCTGTCATTCTCAGCACTTGTGTGTGCTCCTGTTTGGCGCTGTGAGGAATGACAATGGCGCATGAGCCTGGACTATAGACAGCGGTAACTCCCTTGTTATTTATGTAGGGCCTGATTGTCAGATTGACGTCATTGGGAGCTGTGGGTGCGCTTCAGAAAACTAGGCCCCTCTTGGTTAACTTGCACTGTTCTGCTCCCTCACTCCCCACCCCCACTCACAAACCCTGTACTGTAGTATGAATAAAATCATCCTCCCAGCTCCAATCCCTGGGACAACTTGCTGCCACTACCTCACGTGTGTTCAGCAGTCTGCCCAGGACATGGTTCCTTTAGGCCATAAGGCTTTGAGCCAGTTTTCAATTCTCCCTTTGTTTTGTGCTGTGTCTCAGCTCGGCTGAACCTGAATGATGTGTCAAAGCAGCACCGCCTGAACGTGCTCAATAATGTTGCCACGGCTCTGATCTTCATCACCGTCATCCTCAACATCTTCATCACCGGCTTTGGTGTGCAGAAGACTGGTCTCTAGGCCTGGAGAGCAAGGGAATCAGGTAATGAAGGGATGAGGGTCCACTACCACCCACCTTTGGAAGGGTCAACTGCTTCGGCAGTCAAAGGGTCTCAGAAATCATCAATGATGTAGTGGAAGGGAAGGTGGGGGACAGCCCTACACATACACACATGGCCCCTTTGTGAATAGCATTGTCCCCTGGGAAGCCTGGGCTGTGTGACAGGATCTCTCAGGAAAAGGAATTTCCTTGCTCCGTCTCTAAAGCAAGGATGTCATGAGTCCACATTTATGGGATTCATCAGATATCTGGTAGCAGCAGTTGGTGTCCAGCAGATAGCAAATCCCAACCTGGATCATGATAGGTACTATGGGAGGGGAGTCAGACAGTGGAAAGGAGGGTGTGGCATGTATGTGGGAAAGGACCTGGTTCCCAAGAGCTATTCAGGCAGTGGGAGAGATCAGAAGAGGGACCAATGCTGGCAAGGATGGTGGAAGGAAAGAGAGGCAGTAGGGAGGGAGCTTTTCAAAATGGCCACTGCTATTTGGTGATGGTGGTGGCCATTTTAAGAATCTGATTTTTGACCTTTATTCCTCTTGCCTTAATGGTTCCCACCAATAGGGTGACCATATTTGCCTATACTGAATATGGGACACCTGGTAAAATTACTTGTATTCAAGCAAGTTCAGCGGCAATCAATTGTACAAACATTCAAATTAACATCAAGTTGCCTGAGCCTCTGTTAAAAAGAAATACTGTTTAGTTGGATTCTTTTTATTTACCTTCTTATCTTTAAGGCTTTAGGGTTCACATGGGGAGGGGTGACACACACACTTCCCTCCCCCTCCCCTTCCCCCCCACCACACACACACGGGGAGAGGTCACACACACACACACGCACACACATACACCTCTCTCATACTGTGTGTGTGTGTGACCGACCGACCCGACCCGACCCGCCTGGCTGAGCCCCTGGGACAGACCCGCCTCTCCTGGTACCTGGCACTCTGTCTTTCCAAGGCAACACGTGGGCAGAGGGCACGCAGGGTCACATGCCCTCCCTCCCCAGATTCCTACCAGGGTTCACACCAGAATGTGGCCAGCAGCAGCCTTTCAGCACTGTGCGGGACAGAAGGGACAGGAGCTGCTTCCAGCTGCCGGGGAGGAGGAGGAGGGATGACCTGGTCCGTGTCTTTGCAGAGCTTCTCTTCCCTCCACCCCCACATGTGTGGCTGGAAGCAGCTTGTCCATTCCGGCCTGCACAGTGTTGAAAGGCAGCTAACACTGCCAGGCTGGCCACCGTTATAACCCAGCTGCCTCTGGTCCCCATACTACAGTGCGGGCAGGAAGGGGTTAAGCCCAAAGGATGCATTGTGCACCAGGGCCCAGGGAATCTGACTGCAGGGGCTTCAGTGAACCAGGCCAGAGAGGTGGCTCAACAGGGGAGGGTGCCTAGGGAATGGAGCAGCCCCACACTCCCTGGGGGCAGGAACCAGGGCAGGGGTGAGGGGTGGGTTTGAAGAGGGTGCTAAGCCCCTTCCCCAGGGGCTGCTGTGGAGCCTGCAGGTTCGGGGTGTAAACAGGCTGAAAATCACTCCCACGCCGCTCCAGAGCTTAGCTGAGGGGCGGAGAGGCTTCCCTGTGCCAGCACTGTGCATGGCTTTGGCACATGCAGAGCTTGTCTCCTCCTGGCCAGCGCCCCAGGCTCGAGGGTCTTGGGCTTTCCCAGGATGCCAGCCCAGCCAGAGGCAGTTGGGGAAGGAAGGAGCCTGCTTGCCAGGCTGCTGGTGAGCTGAGCGCTCCGACCTGGGGCTGGTTCTCCACACAGTGCTGGGAGCAGGATGCGCCAGGGGGTGGGATATGGAGGAGCCGCAGGCCTTGGGGGGGAGGTGAAGGGGCAAAGCAGGGAGAGGACATCGAGAGGGGGAGAACGTAAAGGGCCGATGGGTGGACAGCAGAGGCAACACGTAACCGGCCCTCGCCTGGTGCCTGCCCACACTCACCAGCCACCACAGCTTGCAGCACGCAGACAGTGCCAGCCGGGAATGGGATGGGGGGGTGGCCCTGCTGGCCGAGAGCTGGCACGCAGCAGGGGCTGAGCTGATGGACCAGTGGCAGGGAGAGTGGCCGGTGCCACACACTGCATCTTCGCTCCGCCACCAGCCTTGCACCCCCACCCCTATCATCAGCCACTGGACCCCCCACTCACCACTGGTGGGTGAGTGGCTGGCGAGCCAGGATCCGGCCAGCAGCAGGATCTGCCAGTACTGATGTGGGGAGAGGGGGGCAGGAGAGACAGAAAATATGGGACAATTTGTCCATTTTTAAGAAAAAGTTGGGACACCTGCAGGAGGGCTTAAATATGGGATTGTCCCTTTAAAAATCGGACATCTGGTCACCCAACCCCCAAGGATGCTGGGGCAATGGCCAGCAGGAGAGTGGGAAATTTGGATTGGAGAGGGAGGTGGGATCCTGGATTCAGTGCAGAGGCACAAGGCTTCCATGAAGATGGCACTGGCTTTGGATTTTGCGAGATCTGTGGGATTTAGGGGCTGAATGCCACATTTATTGCGGCGGCAATTACCTTCCCCTTTGAGTGTGACAGAGAGCAACCCCTACAGATTAATACACAGGGAACCATGCAACATTTTAAACTCCCCTCTCTGGGTTTTACTTCCATAGGAATCAGTCAGGACTGGTTCATAGAATGCTTTGAGATTCTTCAGCTTGAAAAGCACGAAATAGCATTGTAAGGCCTCTAAATGCTACCATAAGCCCTGATCCTGCAAACACTTATGCGCATGTTAACTACAAGCACAGAAGTCATCCTACTGGACTAGAATGATGCAGTGCTAGAAGAGATGGGGATAGGGTGATCACCTTTGCTGGCTGGAAATAAGGGAAAACTACATGAAAACTAAGGAACAATGCTTTATTTTAAGGGACGTTTTAGGGAAACCGCCATTTCCCTTAGCATAACATGTATTTTCTCTCAAGTGTATGTTTCTACTGCCTTCAAGTTTACAATGCAATTATCATAAGCTTCAATGTTTAAAATGGTCAAGGGACATCCCTTAAAATAAGGGACAGGCAGTCACCCTAGCTGGAGATCCAGTATGAATTAAGGAAACTTAGGGCAAATAGAATGAAAAAATGTTACAATGGTGGCATGTTTTCTTGGAATGGCCCTGTAGAGTGGGTGTGTTTTTGTGTGTGGGGAGTGGGGAATGGATTGCAATAGGTAACACAGGCAGAGGGTAGAGGGAAAGCGCTCCTGGGATCCTGCTTATGAAACTTCTATGAAATACTTGCTGACCTGAGGAACCTAGTGGATTCTTATCTTGCATCTTTTGTTTTTCTTGCAGGTTGTGTGTGTGGCACCAGCTTTAGGGTCCCTTCCTTCAATTTTTTTACAGACCTCAGCAGAATCCTACCAGCTGAGTGGAGACACAGAACGCCTGAATTACTCTTTAAAAATTGTTTGTAAAGTATTTTATGCAGGTTGTTTGTATAAAGCATGTGTAGCTTTGCAGGAATGAAATTTCCATTGATTTTTCAACGCTAGTGCAAGTTGTGCAGTGATTTCTAGAGAGCGTCACAAAAAGTTGCAAAAAAGCATTTTCCAAACATGCTCCTGTGCATAGGTAACAACAACTTTTCTCTAATTTTAATTTTAACCATACCGTGTCCAGATATTTTGTAACTGGCAACATTTAAAGTAACACTATCAAACAGTTTATGTCTCAAATATAGGTTGGTTGATTGGTTGTTTTTGTGGGAGGAAAGGAGCGGGTGTGTGTGTTATGATGACTAATAGGAATAAAAATGTTTTCTTCAAGGTTGCTTAAAAAAATCAAATGAGATGCTTTTTTGAAAACCATTAAACATTCCTCTGCAGTGCAGGAAACCTAAACCCCACAGCAAATAGATACTATGCTTAGATACCACCACAAGGACCTTGTTAGAAATCCTCTATGGATAACATGGGGGTACGGTAGGAGAAATAGGAAATGAAGCTCACTAAACACAGAAAGTGAAACAGACCAGTCTAGCTTCACTTGTCTACATTAACTCAGGTGCAAAAAGTAAACAAACAGCATATACATGTTCAAGAGTAAACTGGGTTTAAACCTTTTTTGGTGTTATAATTAAAGGTGTTATCAGTAACAGGTATGCTATTAAATACATGATTTTTATCCTGCTAGTCCTGATGAGAATTCTAATGTGTTGGAAAGTGGTTTTACATTTTTTTTTTTTTTTTTCTTTTTTGAGGTTTTGTTTCTTTCAGATCATTCTGAATTAGCAGGTTCTTTCTGGCAGCCTGATTTTTGGATTATTGGTGTCACACTCAAAAATTGGATATTTTTGACTTGTCAGTTATTTGCATACTTGAGTACTATGTTTTCCTCTTTATTAAATGATTTTTCACTCAAAGACAGAGTCAGATTTCAATATGGGTGAAATCCTATGTATCCAATAAACCGATAGAAAATTCCTAAGGTTGACATCGTGTACATTCCCATCACAGCTGGATAGGAAAGACAAGGCAATGGCAATTGCATGATGATATTCACATATTCTCCTCAGAAGAGCTTCTAAGAGATACTGGATACTGCTAATATGGCTGTTGCTGACATGACTTTGGCTGGTGTCACTGTTTACCTCCCACAAGCTGAGCCGACCTCCTGTGTGTTTGACTTTTCAGATCTCCTTCCAGAAATCTACTCTGTTGCATTTCAATTTAAATCAGAGGTATTAGCTTCATCCTGGAGACAGGGCCAAATGACATTTCTATAGCATGTTCCACCCACGAATTAGCTGACTGTAGAAATGCAGGGGCATCATTACATTCCTAACTCTCCAGTAATTTGCCTTATAGGATTTTGCCTACTGATCCTTCTGAGTGTTCTTCTATAGGCGAAAGCCCTATGTGGGTATTTCTTAGTAGTAGCCATGATAGACTGTTTAGATTTTCTTGCTTCAGATTATACGCACAATAATATTAATGATTACTTTGTTGTCATCCACCTTTGTTTATTTTGCCCAGGGGTAACTAAAGCTGCCTCATCTACGTGCTAGAGGCACCAGCTCTAAAAGTTAGAGGGTTGTTTGTTCTCTGTGCTTATTTCACTCCTTGGCCTCTCTATGGAGCCAGCCAAGAAGCTGCTAGCAGCAGTGAGGATTTATGAGGTGGCTATTTCCCCACTAGCAGCTAGAGTGAGGCTATTTCACACAGGTCACCAAGGAACTATCAGGTCATGGCTTTCAACCACTGGGTTTAGGCAAAGGTGACAAGCTTTATATCCTTTTCTCAGGTGCCAATCCACCCACTCCCTCATGGCCACAGTCTGCTCCACAGAGCCAGGGGCAGAGCAGTAATGGCTGAATGTCAGACAAATGACTCAGCAGAGGAGGAAGAGGGGAGGGACTCTCCATCATCGAAAGTTAACTTGGATGTCCTTCTCTCTCACAGAGATGCCAAGCCATGTAGTGCTGCATGTGAGGCATATTTGTGTGGGGACTGCTTCCCATTACTGAACATGACACGGCAGAAGACCAGCACACAGTGCTGCCCTTTATCACCTCTCAATCATGGAGTCAGGAGCATTGGCACTCCTGGCTGCCTTCTCACTTCTATGTATCAGACCTCAGCTCTATTCTGACCTGCTTGCACTCCCATAGGCAAATAAACAATGTCTAGGAAAGAACTGATCTAATGATTGTCCATTGTCTCTCTCAGAGAATGGGCTAAGCTCTGTGTTCCCTCCTGCACCTTACTCCATGAGATGGCCCCTGCCGGCTGAGGCAGAGATTGGTCTATCATTTTAGTGCTCCTTGCTGCTTGGGGTAGAAATCTAGCCTGTATCAATGTTCTGTTCCATTTCCTGTGATGCATCCCTGATTAATAGGAGAGAAACTCCTCTATGTCCTCCTGTCCCATTCCCTGCAGCCCCCATTGCTTGAGTGGGGGGAAAAACAGATCATGATCTGACCCCTGAATCCCCCCCCTTTGTGTTGGTCTCTGCAGCACCCCTGCTGGGGTATAGAGTGATCTATAGCCCATGTATTAACGTTGTCTTTTGCTGGTTGAGACAAAGAGAGGAACATTTGACCTTTAATCACTGAAGAGTGTTGTTGGCAGATGTCTGAGGAACATACAGACAGAAGTGAGCTTTTGTAGGAAGAAACTGTATTTATAAACCCCTTGCGGTGCCAGCCTACCCCTCTCCTAACAGAGGGGAGGCCTGGGAATCATCTTAAAGGCACAAAGCCATCTTAAGGTGTGGAATTCAGAGGTACAGTACAGAATTAAAACACCAGGCGTCGGTGTCTGGATAACATTTCAGACATTTACAAGCAATGAGAGAAGGCAAGACATTCATATGAGGGAAACATTAAAGACAATGACAAAACAGTCACATCATGTTCACACAACAGATTCTTTCATGATAAAACCCATTCTCTCCCAACCCCTTTGTTGGATTGCAAAACAATTTCCATCATGGAGTTCACAAGGCAGTGGAAAGGGTCGGATGCCTTCAAATAATGCCAATGGAAATGAGATTGAGTTTATGGAGAAGCCCACTTCCCCACTTTGGTAAAGCCAGGCTCCCCGTAGCCCTTTTGTGATGTCTGGGGAGCTGCCATTCCTGAGACATGTCTCCTTTCTGATAGAGGAGAATCCCATGACCCACCCCAATCCCATCAGTGCGTAAGCCAGAGTGACGTAAGCCAGAATCTATGAGCCTCAGCTTCCACTCTGTTCTTGATTTTGATTGGGGCGGGTGGGGGAGAAGAAGCATCCTTGGGGTTAAACCCTTGACTTTTTCGTATGCATTTCATGCTGGCCTGACAGCCCTGGAGCAGGTACTCCTCTCTTTCCCCACAACCAGTGGCAATCTCAACCTGGACCTCTACTGACTACTTCAAGGGCTGACAGGCAGGTTCAGTCTCCATGGAGAATTCCCTCTGAGGATTCTCTGCTGAGGCTGCCAACTAGTGCCAATTGTGATGGTGGCTTTTGTGGTGTGCATAATTGCCCTCTAGGAATAGGACTGAGACTCTACCACCTATTTCACATAGACAACCAAAGAGCCCTTAAGGAAGTAAACAGTTTTGACCATTACCAATCTCGTTGAAAGGCACAAAGGAAGGAGCATAGCTGAGTGAGCACCAGAAGACCCCGGGTGAAATCCTAATCCCACTGAAGTCAATGAGAGTTTTGCCATTGATATTAATGGAGCAAGGATTGTATCCCTTTTGATATGCCCAGCTCTATTACTGTGAGCCCTAGAGGCAGTCTCTGACCCTTCATGCTTCACTTTCCCCATTGGTAAAATGATACTCTTCTTCAAAAGTGCTAAGTACTATTTCTAATTCATTGGATCCCACTGCTTATCTTCTAGGCCAGCCAGTCCCCATTCCACATGAATTTCTTTACAGAGCCAGTTCAGACATGCTATGAGACTTGCCGTCCCAAGGAATCCAGAGTTTGGAGAGAGGGTTTGCAAGTATTAGAGATTTGTTATGCCCTGCAAGTATGTGCACAAGCCCCTGAATAAAGCAGCATGATAGGACATGCACTAAAGATGCATATCAACTATTCCAGTCAGAAACAATCGACTGCCAAATTATTAAACTTCTAAAAACAGAGAGTTTTCATCTATCACCTCTTTTCCCCTCCAAAAATCGGTTTTGTATTATTTCTCAGTCTCTAAATATGAAAAGTACCTTCCCTAGTTACAAAGACTACTGTGATTTGCAGTGGGTTTGATACTGCATCTTCTTAGATCCCAGATGGCTACAGTCCTACAAATATTTAATGGATTAAAAGACTCAGTAGCCCCTCGTACATTTTTCACCATTGCTCCACTCTGCATAGCATGCCCTCCCCAACCCTGGAGGTTGATGGAGCACTGACTTAGCCCAAACCAGCCAAGCTGTGGATCTCTGCAGTCCTTGAGTTATGACTTTGGTGGGGGCAAGATTCCACCCTAGGTTTGGGCAGAGTTTGAACAAGGTCCCCTCCATATTCCTTTCACCAAAGCAAGCTCCTTTCATCAGTGCAGTCACCAAACTTCCATGGTCTTGTCACCAGTGCAAGCCCCAGATCCTAAGTCCATCTCACCAGTGCCAGCACAAGGCTCATCCATAAGTGCAACATTGTGAACTGCTCCTGTTCTTCCACTATGCAAACAAATAGTTCTTCACACACGTAGAATCTACCATGGAAAACAACTGTGAAATCATAACTTATTAAATTAACCCCCAGATGCTGTGTTATAGACCAGGTCTGAGGAGCAGAAAAGTTCTCCTTCTCATTGACAAAGATACAATATTTCAGACAATCAGATATTCCATTTCCATCTATTATGAGTTCCCAGCTATTGCTGGGACACACCCTTGTCTGACTGGGCTACAGCTGTCGATATGGCTTCCCAGTTCCTACTGAGATGGCCTCACCTGTCCTCTCCAAGTCCCAGCATGAGCCTCAGGCAGGAAACAACTAACCAAAGTGGGTTCTTAACATTAGCCCCAGCCAGCTGCAGGCAAATGGGGTCTCTCATGAGGGAAAAGTGTTTGAGTCTCCAGATACAGCCCATGGTTTGTTGAACAGGAATGTAGATTTTCCCAGTGATTTAGATGAAAGGGTGGCAAATAGGGCTAAGCACTGGCAGCTTAGAGTGCCTAACAGCTCCTCAGACTTTTCTGGGCTGGGCTGGTACATGGGGATGAGGACACAACACAGTTCAGAGAAGTTCCTTTGGTCCCCTGTCCAAAGACATGGGTGTCAGAGTTTTTCAAGTATCAAAAGAAGCAGCAGCTTTATTGTAAATAATCCATTCTGGTTGTAACTGGGATTTGTTCCTTTTCTTAAATTTGCACCATGCAAGACACTCCAGACAGCTTGCCACCACTTCTATCGTACCATCAGTCAGGGGCTCTAGGTGCATCAGTGTCAGGGGCAAACAGTCCTTTGCTTGTCTAAGGCTCCCTCAAATACAGAGCGAGTCACTGATCTCCATGTCTGGGACCTAATGGCTCACGAGTGCCAAAGATAAGTTCCCACTCCTATACACTGATCATCCCTTTTCACAAGCACCTGTAAGTCTGATCTCCTAGGATGACTCTGGAGAGAAGAGGAGTGTGTACTCTCGGCTGCATGCCTAGGCGAGGTGCATGTGCTGATATAAGGGTGGCTGGCTCTGCCAGGCAGCTTTGTGGCCGAACATTACGGTGTCCTCAGCTGTTGTCGGTTCCACATGCCCCGCTTGGAGTGAAATCGGTGAAAGAAGTTCCTCAGGGACAGTCGTTCCACTTCCAGGCCAGCCTGCATGATCCTGTGGGGGAAGGAAGAGGAGGAAATTCAAGAGGAGATTAGTTCAATAAGACACTCCAAGGAAGGGTTGACAGTAAGGGTGGCTAGGGCGATGTGAAAGTCTCCTCTGTACAGCGTCGTATACCAAACCATTGCACTAATAGAATGGCCCAAAAGATTGCTAAGGCCTACAACCAAGGGCTGATGAGGTCTAGGACTTGTCCAGCATGCAAAAGAGCTATCTGGCACGAAGGGGTGAGGGAAAGGGATACCTCATATCACAAACTTTTCAAAAAATGTAACTGCACCCCATGGCCCCGGATGACCTTACTCCAAATAGCTGCCCTGTTGGGCATTTATTATGTGTGTTATTATAAAGACTAGAGGCCCCAGCTGAGATCAGGGTCCCATTGTACTAAGCACTGTTCAAAGATCAGGAAGGGGTCAAAAATATGCACTGGGAGCATCTGTATGTGTCTGATCTACCCAATGCCTGCCAAGGGTGTGGCAGGAAGGTACCAGGATTCTGGAGATAGCTCTCTCCTTTCCTATGTCAGTGGCTATGATAAGGCATTCTGGTTATAGTAGCCCCCTGAGCTCTGACAACCAATGCGTTGCTCAAGAGGACATGCTCAGGGGGTCGCCCACTGATGGGGAATGCACACTGTGACCTTTGTCACCTTCATTTCTTACTGCTCAACTTCAGCAGGAATCCCAGCTCACTTCTCTCTCTGTCCCTGCCACCTCAGAATCAAGGGGGACTGCTCTACTGAACCACAGCATGGGCAGAGCTGGTGGAACATCTCCACTCACCTGTCCACGAGTTCCCAGTCCTCTCCTCCCCAGCGATCCCGGAACTCTTGGGTATTCATCCCTCCAATTTGATCCAGGTCAGACTTGTATATGCCTAGGAGACCAAATCCATTCACCTCCCAGTAGCCTGCAGACAAAACCAAAAGTCATTAACCGTGCTTGCATCCTAAACCACTATTGAATGAAGCAGGAGATTCCCAGCCCTGGTGATTCCATAGAGTCAAACAATCACACTTCCCTGGGACAATAACTGATTCAAAGAAATGGGAGGGACACACAAACTAATCCCAGCACCTCTAGTCACAACAAATCTAACACCCAGCACCAAGGTACAAGATGTTAACGTTTAGGGCACCCCAAGAACCGGTTCTGAAAGTGGCTAGAGAGCACATGCTCCTTTTAGCTCTGACAGATGCCCTCACCTCTCACGTAAAAGCAACATCCTTTCTAATTCACCTGTATTATCCCAACATCGAGGGTCTGTCCCTATCCCCTGGGTATTAATACTGAAACTGGAATTTTGCCCTGATTTTGAATCACAGGAAGTCCCGCACTCCCTTCTTGGATGGCCACCTGTACCTAACAGCAGTGCTGCACTGTGCGCACCTGCACAGCTGTGCTGCCCCCTGACCCATGGCCTGCTGTCTCTCAGCTCTTCTCAGCAGGGATGATCAATGCCCACTGAAAACAGACGAATGAGCTCAAACCAAAGCGAGACGCTCTAAGGCAGTGGCTCTGGTGGCCCTTGCATCAATCCTCTTTGGGTCAGTCGTGGGCCCAGTGGAGATGAGCCTGGGAACAGTTATGGCCACAGCAGAAAGCAAAGAAGAGAGCAGACGAAGGAGCTGGAGTGAGGGGAGAGAAGCTGAGAGAGAGGAGGGATTTTCTTGAGGAAGCCAAGTGTATAAAAAGACCCTAAATGGTGTCCAGCATAATCTTCACGCATCCTGCAACAATGCACCACTCAGATGCCTTATATGGCTCTGCTTGCTTAACACTCCGATACAATGCACAGTAACAATCCCCTTGGCACCTGGCATTGAGATTTTAGCTCAGTTAAACCCAATCCTACATCTAGTCACTCTCTTAGCGGCCCTGGTAATACCCACAAGGTCAAGATTTTGGAGGACCCCGATAATAGTGAAGGAACATATCCTGAGGGTATTTCAGACTACAAGCACCTTCCTCCCAGGTCTGAGCCATAAAGCCCCGGCCTCTTACCCTCAGGCCATTGTGGAGATGCGCCGCAGTGCAACCTCATAACCATGGGTGCAAAGGCCATCTTGCCCTCTACGCAGTGCTTCCGAATCGAGTCGATGACCCCAGCCGGGAAGTGGATGTGGAGATCACACAGGAAGATGATACTGTGTGGATCCTGGAACCAATCACACAGATATCAGTCATAGGGAGATTTCATCCACTGCCACTGACCTGGCACCACAGTTTATCCATGGTTGGTGTGCGGGCACCATCGCGCTGACACTACTATCAGCCACAGTATCCTACACTCACTTTTGACGATCTGGACTATGCAGCTTTTACCTATTGTTAACACTGTTGAACTAGGGCAATTTTCCAACCCAGTCCTGCTGAATGATCCTAGTTATACCCAAAGACTACAATGCCCACCTCTCTCACAGCCCAGGTAGGCAAAAGCCAACCACCACCCAGCAATTGTTGCCCCATAGCTGTCCAAGATCCATAGGGTCTCATCCTCTTTCACAGTAGGGTCCCTTCACACTGCTCTGACATATAACGTACACCCACTTTAAGGCCCCTCTATACTGGCAGAGCAGTGTAAAGGGGCCCTTATGTAAATAAGAATCAAGCCCCTAGTCTCTGCCCCACCATCACCACCTTGGGCCCAGAGATCCTGCCTAACTTGGGGCCATGGCTCCCATGCCACAAACACCACACCCTCAGCTCACGCAAGGCCCAAAAGCCTCCTCTCAGATCTTAAGACTCTACTGCGGCAGCAAAATCAAACATGCTTCGATGTGATCTGTTCCCGCATCTCACTCAGAGCCTCACTGGGGAGTCTGCCTGGGGGATGGTGCTTCCTCATTTGGAAAATACAGACTGGATTAAAACAGGCCTCTCTAGGGTGACCAAGTGGTGGGGGGTTGGGAATGAATTAAAACAGCCTTTCACCTCTAGGTCACAAATCCAAATCCAGCTTCAGGTTGGTAAAGTTGTTGCCATGCAATGGCTGTTCAGTGACTTGTGTGAAATATGTTGTTGCCACAGCCTAGTTCCTTGCAGGCAGTGTTCACATCACAAAAGGAAGTCACTACAATTAGTGTAGTCACAGGGAGGTTAAGAACTGAATGGGCCACAGAAACTGATCTCCTCAATGTGGCCCCTCCAGGTCATGATTGAGGCACACTGCCAAGGCAGCATGAACAGGACACTTGCACTGACCCTGGCCATGCTGAACGACAAAGGTTTCAGTATGACAGGTGGTGCCTGAGTACACGGTGTCTGTGCTGTATAGAGACTACAGATCTTTCTGCAGCTCAGGCTCCACAGCAGCCAGGCACTCACCTTCACTAGGTCTATCCCAGCCTGCAGCCCTGCAGAGCGCTCAAAATTCCCCGTCAGCTTCAAGTACTGGTAACTGTTGGCAAGACAGACAGGAATTGGGTTAAGTTCCTTAGCCTCACAACAACTCCTTCTAGTGAGGGATAGTGGGAGAGGAGGAGAAAGGCCCTTGGTTCACTGCTCACTTACAACTCTTGGGAATGTTCAATTTTACGTGTGGATGTTATTGTATTACACATTCACCCTTACCTTCAATCCCTATGCAGCACAATGAACACCTTCCAGGGCCCAACAGGTGCCTGATATAATCAGGGCCTGGACAACCGAGATGTGTGCTTAACTGAGACCTGCATTCCAGAACAGATGTCTCAGAAGTGCTTTGAGACCCACACACAAGTGCTTTGTCAGCACAAAGCACTATTAGTTGTACGATTTGGCACATATCTGAGATCTCATTCTGTGGAACTGCTCCTAGCTGGTTCCAAAGCAACCAAAGGGCAGCTCCATGACATGGTTACTAAGAAGGGAAAAACACATTTGTAACTTTAATCAAACGCTTTGTTAGTTCGCATCCCAGTCTTGTGTAATGAGGCTATATGTGCCTTGTTTCTTTTTATTTACAGGATAGGGTCTCTTGTGAGGGCAGTCGTCAGTAGCCTGTTCAGCACCATTTGGCATTCCAGAGGCATGGACTAGACTGCTAATGGGATGTGCTCTAGAACAGGGGTTCTCAAACTTTTTTTGCTAGGCCCATCTTTGAAAATATTTCAGGCTGTGATGACTCCCCCCCGCCCCCTCCAGGGTTACCATATTTCAAGTTCCCAAATAGAGGACACTGCCAGGAGAAGTTGGAGAGGAAACAGGGGTACAGCCCTCTGGCTGCCCAGCTCTGAAGGCAGAGCTGCCACCAGCAGCAGTGCAGAATGGTGGCATGGTATGGCATTGCCATCCTTACTTCTGTGCTGCTGCTGGCAGTGACACTGCCTTCAGAATTGGGTGCCTGGCCAGCAGCCGCTGCTCTCGCGACCACTCTACAATAGCCTTTTACCCCCTTTTGCGTCGGATCCCCCAGTTTGAGAAAGGCTGCTCTAGAACACAGAGGGAAGGTGTGACACTCTGTACCTCGTGGGAACACCCTACACCCCCATGTTCATCCTTATAAAATGACTGTGTGGTATCCAATGCAAAGTTTGTCATGTTGGGTGTCTCTGGAAGGCTCATGATGCACTGAGCATTGTTGTTATAGTAATGTTATAGGTTGTAATTTCATGTATATAGTTATAAGGCTGAAAATGTGTCCTCATGGCTTAAAACAGGCCCAGGCAAAACTCTCCAAGAGCAGAGGGGCAGTTCACACCTCATCAGGGCATGTATAGGACAAACCCAGCCCAACCTCACAGGAACAAAGGACACTGGCCTAGGCAGCAACAAAGGATCTTTTGGACTCTCGAGTGAGTCACCCCCACTTCCTTTGGTCAGTAGGGACCACAATGAGGTAATGGCCACCTGACTCTGAAGGGGGGGAGGGCAAAGCCAAGAGGGAAGAAAGTACACGATAAAAGGGAGAAATCTTTGCCATGCTCTTCCTCTCTCTTCCACCTCCATCTACAGACATCACCACCAAGCAATTGAAGCGCTGATCAAAGGGGAGAGCCTGGCTGAAGGGCAACCAGCCAGCCTGTGGTGAGAAGCACCTAAGTTTGTAAGGGCACTGAAAGTGTTAAGGTCAGCTTAGAATGCATTTAGCTTTTCTTTCATTTGACCAAATCTGACTTATTATGCTTGGACTTATAATCACTTAAAATCTATCTTTGTAGTTAATAAATTTGTTTGGTTTGAAGCGTGTCAGAGATTCCCCTTGGGATAACAAGCCTGGTGCATATCAATTTCTTTGTTAAACTGATGAACTCATATAAGCTTGCAGCGTCCAGCGGGCATAACTGGACACTGCAAGACGGAGGTTCCTAGGGTTGTGTCTGGGACCAGAGATATTGGCTAGTGTCATTCGATTGCACAATTCAAGGAGCAGCTTACTTGCCAGAAGCTGGGCGTGAACAGCCCAGGAGTGGAGGTTCTCACAACAGAGCAGGGTAAGGCTGGCTCCCAGAGTCAAGGATTGGAGTGACCTAGCAGATCATCGATCCAGATAACACTGCTCTACAGCCAAAATGCTTCTGAAATAAATGTAGTCAAACTTTACTAATTCTGGGTCACTAAGAACGAAAATGATGCTTAAAATTGTTGATTGGCTCTAGTTTTCAAGATATGCTATTGGGTCAGTATATACGACCCTTGACTTGGGAATGGCGGAGGATAAGTGAGTTATAAAGGGAAGGGATCTCCATTTAAACCAGAAATGACTAAAATACATCTTTGACTGGATCTATGAATAAATCTATGACTGGGTTTGGACAATACTTGCTTTTTAGGCAAAACAATGAATGATGCAATCTGAAGCTGGTATTGCGTCATACATGATATGAATTGCATCATGTTATTCCTAGAAGTCATGGATGATGCAATCATAACGAAGCTTACATCACTCTGCTGAACAAATTGCCCTATATCAGCTCTAGAATCATACAGTGTCGTGCTCTCTTATTTGTCAGTGTTTGATTTTGCAAAGGGACACATTTCTGTTTAGCCAAAGTGAGCAGAGATGCCTCGTACTTGTGTGAACAGTGCAGATAACTTCTGCTATGTTTGTGGTGAAGTGACTTTTGCATCACAAAAGCGCAGTATAACCACTATGGTTAAGAAAGCCTATCACCTTTATTTTGGTTGCAAAATTGGAGATCAGGACAAGAGGTGGGCCCCACACATATGCTGTAACACTTGTGCAACAAATCTTTGCCAGTGGTTGAACAGGAAAAGGAAATCTATGCCTTTTGCAGTACCAATGATTTGGAGAGAGCCAACAGATCATCCCAGCAATTGTTACTTCTGCGTGGTGCCTCCAGTTGGGAAAGGTGTGTCAAAGAAGAAAAAGTGGACTGTGCATTATCCAAACATTCCATCAGCTATATGCCCAGTACCCCACGGAGAAGGACTGCCGGTTCCTGATGCACCAGAATCATTCTCACTTGAGTCAGACGATGAAGAGGAAGAGGATGAAACTTCTGGTCCTGAACCATCAGTGTCACAGGACCCACATTTTCTCCCATCCTCCTCCTCCTCTGAACCACACCTCATAACACAAGGTGAACTGAATGACCTTGTCAGGGATTTGGAACTACCCAAGAGTAAGACAGAGCTGTTGGGCTCCAGACTACAGCAGTGGAATCTCCTGCCAGGTGATGTTAGGGTTTCCATGTTCCTTGACCGTCAAAAGGATCTTGTCCCATTCTTCTTCATGGAAGGTGATCTTGTAGCCTGCAACAACATCGATGGTGTGATGGCAGCCCTCAACATCGTTCACGATCCAGATGAGTGGAGACTGTTCATTGATTCATCGAAGACGAGTCTTAAAGCTGTTTTTACTGCATAATGGCAATGTTTTGCCATCAATTCCAGTTGGTCATGCAGTCCATATGAAGGAAACCTATGACAACATGAAACAACTTTTGAGGTGCATAAACTATGACCAACATCAGTGGCAGCTTTGTGGCCATTTGAAGGTTGTTGCTCTCTTGCTTGGTCTGCAGACTGGATACACAAAGTACTGCTGTTTTCTCTGCGAATGGGATAGTCGTGCAAGAGATTCCCACTACATCAAGAAAGATTGGCCACTCCGACAGTCATTGGAGCCTGGGAGGAAAAGTGTTCAGCATCCACCACTTGTTGAATCGAGGAAGATTTTGTTACCACCCTTACACATCAAGCTGGGTCTGATGAAGAACTTTGTCAAGGCCATTGACAAAACACAAGCAGCTTTCAAGTACCTCCGTGGAAAATTTCCAAGGTTAAGTGAAGCTAAGATAAAGGAAGGTGTCTTTGTTGGTCCTCAGATTCGTGAACTTCTTCGAGATGATGCATTTGACCATGCACTGCATGGCAAGGAAAAGACGGCATGGAAAGCCTTCGTTAGTGGCAATAAATTTTCTCGGAAACAACAAGGCAGACAACTACAGGTTGTTGGTGGAAAACCTCCTCAAGGAATACAAAAGCCTTGGTTGCAACATGTCACTAAAGATACATTTTTTGCACTCTCATCTAGATTTTTTTCTACCGAACTGCGGAGCAGTGAGCAACGAGCACGGCGAGCGATTTCACCAAGACATTGCAACAATGGAGAAACGCTATCAGGGCAAATGGAGCCCATCAATGCTTGCAGACTATTGCTGGACAGTGACCAGAGATGCTCCATTTAATGAATACAAGAGACAAGCCAAGAAGCGCCGAGTAGACACTGAATAGGACTAAACTATGTACAAAATAGTTTTTTGCCTTTTGTTTCATAATAAATTTTATTTATATAACCCTTTTGCTGATGTTTAAAGTGTTACATAAACAGGACAGGTGAAATATTATCATGTAAAGCAACCATAAACACATGAAAAGACCTAGGTTTACAATTTATGATTAAAACTCTACTACCTACACAATATACATAGACATAAAATGTAAAAACTTAAATATCTTAGAAACAGTAGCCAATCAGTTGTTTTAATTGTCATATTTGAATTCAGCACATCAAAATACATAATAAATAGCACATTTTATCTCTGAAGCAGACGACTTCTCAAAAATTGTAGACCAGTGTAACACCAGGGTCATCTGCAACACAGAAGGTCCTGATGGGACTGTGTTGCAGATGACCACTTTAGATAATTGCTAAAGTGAGACACACAAGTTGGCTGAACATGCAGCTTTCTAAATTCTCCCTTCTCTCAGTCCCATTTGTCACTGATTTGTCACCTTCTTGGTCTTTCCCCTTTCTCCATCACTAGGAGACTTGCCTTTGACCTTTTACTACAAACCTGAACAGGAGGTACAAAAAGGGAGATGCATCTGGATGGATGGACTGTGCAATAGGCATATGCGTGAAGTCAGATGGTGACACTGTACGTGGTATACAGGTGCAAGAGTGTGTGTGTGTGGCTTGTGTCTGTAGGGTGCATGTGTTTGGCTTTCTATATGCAGATGGATGAGGATGGCCTGTATGCAGAGATTAATGTGTGTGCTGTGTTTATAGGCGTGTGCCTGTATGTAGTTCATGTGAATAGGTGGTATTCTCACCTGCGTAAGCTGGACCTTTTCAGAGCCTTCTCTACATCCATGTCATCACTGCTGTAGTCTGTGATGATGACATTGAAGTATGGGTCCTTGGTGACTCTAGACAGTTCCTCCATGTCAGAAATGAACTGCAGTACCCAGCGTGCCTGGTTTTTCACTAATCATGGTGGGGACAGGGGTAGGGAAGGAACAAAATCAAAGCAAAATTGATTTCATGCCTTGAAATGATTGCAAACAGCCAAGATTGGCCTCCTGCCAGATCCAACTGAGACAGACAGGGGAGTCTGGGAGCAATCTAGGGACAGGCCCAAACTAAGCTTTGGGGCCATCTGGATCCAGATCTTAACACTGCAGGGCGAACCCATTCCTAGTGTATTTTGGGAGTCAGATTTCAGAGAGTTCAAACCACTCGGGGGGTTGGGCCAGTTATATTTCTGATGCAGTTTCATTTGCAGGGAAAAGGAAGTTGAGAGTGACATGAGCAAGGTGGTGGAGACTGGCACAGACATGGTGCTCAGAGCTGTCTCAGAACCAGTGCCTAGCAGCTTCTCACTCAGAGGCTGGCTCAGGACCAGGCCCCACAACCTCCCCACTCATATTTTATTTTGGAAGCGCCTGGATCTCCTGCCCCATTACAAGGCCCTTACCTGGCACTATGAAGTGGACAACAGCACGATGGTTCCAGGAGAAGCCCAGTGGCCAGCACAGGTCTGGCTCCTTTGCAACTCCCATCAGTTGGCGCCGGCGGCCCCACGCCAGGTTCTTCATGTTCATCTCCTCCTGCTCGTCGCCGCTGATGCCCTGCCAGCCCCGCGCAAAGACATACTCTGAAAAGCGCACGAGCTGTCCTCCCCTCTCCAGCAGCTCCAGCTCCAGCAGGTAGCGGCTCCCACGTAGGCGGTCTTGGCGCTTCTCCACATTCACTACGCGCTGCAGGTGGAATCTCCTGCAGGGACGCAACAGGGTTATATATGTTCCCCACACCAGCGCCCGGCAGCCACTCCTCCCCAGTTCATCTCAGCCAGTCCCTCGTCCAGGAATGTGATTAACCCTTTCACTCCCAGTCCACAGCTTTACTGCACCGCCCCAGAACCCATGTCAGAGGGTTTAGATTTTTGATTATCACCTGGCCTCAGGACTATTCACTTGGGATTAGATCTGGAATCCCAACAAAGATAAAATAGCTGATGAAGGAAGGGAAACAAAGATCATGCCAAAAAATAACTGTTTAAAAGTGAATTTAAGTTATCTTGGTGCTGGTGAGAGGTGCTGTATGCACAGCCCTGGAGACTACAGGCTTCTTAGGCACAGCATGGGTGACAGTAGCCTCCTTATACCCTTTCAGTGTATCTGAACCCTCAACTGGCAGGGAGAAGTTAGCTCAGTTCCTATTTCCATTCAATGCTTGGCAGTTCTGAAGAGACAGCCAACAGAGGGGCTAATGATAATGCTGATTTACACATTCTGGGAACGTGCTTACTGGGAACTGGACTGAAACCTCCACTCATTTCCCACCAGCCACCACCCAGCTGTCAAAGACCTTTCAGCCACTACTGACCTGGGTTACTGACCTCTTAGTGAGCTACAGTGAAGGTGTTTTCTCCCATTCTCATTCCACTCAGGTGTTTAGTGCCCCTTCCACCTTCACAGTTCATTTCCTAGGGCTGTATTTTCCACCTTTGGAGTTTGCTCCCTAACTTCTACTGGTTCCTTACACTGTGCTGCTGTTCCTATGCAGCGTGGTATGGAGACCATAGGAGAGGACCACGGGCTGCGAGAGACAGTTTGCCTTACCCTTTGTTTCTCTGGTTGAGTTTCTTCAGGAAGACGCGTGTGACCTCCAGGGCCTCCCTCTCTTTCAACAGTAGGTTCCCCGATGTGTTGCACTTCAGGTCGATCCAGTCTGTCCGCAGCGTGTGGAAGTCCAAGTTGCTTGCGCTGAAGGTCTGGTCCCAGTTCACTACCTGGTCAAATGGCATGTACTCAAATCCCTCCTTCTCCCACTCTGCTTCCCCTTCCACCTCTTCCTCCTCCTCTTCCACTGCCGGCTCAGCAGGCTCAGGTTGAGATTCCACCTGCCCCCTTTCCACATCTACCTCAATGCCATCAGCTGCCTTCTGCTCGGCAATGTATGACTGCACCTGGTTTAACCACTGTGCCTGGTAAAGGGTCTGTTTGCTGAGGCTGGCAGCACTCACAGCTCTACTACTTATTTTGCCAGAGACTGGACTTTGTCTCCTTGCTTGCATGTTGCCTGCTGGCTGGTCCTTGGTGCTGGTTGCATTGAGGTCTGTCTGAAGAGGCCCCACCTCCCTTGGAATCCTGTCAGTGGAGTTTCTGGAATTGCTGGGTATATGTTCCCAGGGCTCGTGAGGTCTTGTGCTAGAAGGAGGGTCCTGGCCTCCCACTCTCCTCTTGGGCAGTGACTTCCTATGGATGCCCCTAACATGACGAGGAGAATTTCTGGAACTGTCTTTGACCTTGATTTTTAGATGGGGCCTCCTCACTGGTAGGTTTCTTTCTAGACCAGTTTGATTGATGCTCTGGTTGGCTGAAGTCCTGTGAGCTGGCTTGATGAGGAGCCTTTTTGCTCCTCTCTTCTGCAGCACCTCTCCCACCTTACCATCTATGAGCGAGAGGAGCTTCCGACGCCCCGGGAAGGAATAGTCATTGTAAATGTCATCATAGCCTGCTATCATAGTGGGGTTTGCCTCGACTCCCATCGGCTTTGCTCCCCACTTGCTGGGATTCCTTGGGGGATTGGTGCTTTCTGCATCCTGGTCTGTGTACTGAAACTCATCAGGATTCCCATCCTCAGAACCTGCAACATCGATCCTAGTTACATCTCTCATAACCGCTCCACTGCCCCCGCCGTCTTGACCCACACCCAAAAGAAGAAGGGAGTTAACCCATCTGCTCATCCCCCTTTATGCATCCACCACTGAGGGAGTTGCCTTTCTTGTTCTCATTCACTGTCGTAGTGTGGATTGTGAATATTCCCTCTTCCAATGCCCTGGGGGTGCTCTGGGGAGGGGAAGTGGCGCTAATTCTTGTACTAGTCTCCTTGGCATGTGTGGGCCAGTCTCACCAATGGCCATGGGTCTCTGGCATATGTAAACTTGCCTCTCCCACCCAGCTATGGCCCTCTTTCACATGTGGACCAGGGTGGCCAAGTGTGCACATTCGGCACTTCTCTCATGCCAGCCTGCAGCTCAGGTGGAATCTTATGTATGAAATTTTGAGCAGGAAACGCAGTTCCTACTGAGGCCATTAGAGCCCACTGTGGTGCCTGACAGGTGCCCATCCAGCATGGAGCCTGCCCTGAGGAAGAGGCAGGGTGACAGCAGGGATCAAGGGGAACAGTGAATGAAGGGCACTGAGATTGTGGAGGGGACTGAATGTTGAAACTGGGTGGGTTCTAAGGTGGGGGAGGGGACTGAGGTTTAGGGAGCAGATGAGGGAGAGAATAGGGCAGGGTCTGAAAAGGGCATGGGGAGGCTGCCCCAGCCTGAGCTCTCCGTGATACCTTTAACCAGCAATAAATCCACATTTTTTTTAAGATGAAGTTTAAGGCTTTATGCAAAATTATTAGTAAATAGGCAAGTCATATAATTAAATAATTTGCATGATGTGTCACATGTGCAGCTTCACAAAACTTAGCAGGTCTGGTGGCCTTGCCCCCTCCTCCTGGCCACGGCTCTCTGGCACACGAGGGCCATGCTTTTCACTGCACGTGAAGTCAGCTGCATCTTCCATCCATTCCAGGGAAAGGGAGACAGAAAATTTTTTTTTTTGGACAGACGGGAGAATCCTCCTGTCTCTCGCATTAGGGTCTCTACCTGGCTGCTTGGTTTTCTCCCCAGACTCCAGATTTCTCCTCTCTGGATGGTCGATATTCATATACTTATAGAATCCAAACCTTCAGGAGTAAGGAGGCAATGTAAGCACAGCTGTATGTTACAGAGGAGTGTTTCTCTGCTGTATCACATCATGATAAATGCCATCTTACCATCCCTTAAATCCATTCAAAATACGGCTGCAAAGACCATGTCTCATCACTCTGACTTTCCCGACCCCATTCTTGGAATCCCCTGGTCCCCTCTTTTCCTCTGCATCAAACACAAACAACTTGTCTTCATGCTTATACTCATCTCTAACACAGTTTTGAGTCATCAACCCCTCCTTTATTGTCCATCATTTCAATGTTCCCTCAAACACCTTCCTTCTTTCTCCCATGCTGCCCCATATGAATGGGAAGAGCTCTCATTCATATGGAGCAGCAGGTGCTGGGTGGTTACCTCTCTGCCCCTCAAAGATAAACCCTGCAGGGGGAAGAGAAGCCTTCATAGATTCCATTTGCAAGGTCCAAAGGGACCATTGTGATCATCTAGTACAGTGGTTCTCAACTTATTTACCATTGTGGGCCACATATGCAGCTGTCTGTGTTTTATGTGGATTGCATCCACACAATACACCTCTACCTCGATATAACGCTGTCCTCGGGAGCCAAAAAATCTTACCGTGTTATAGGTGAAACCGCGTTATATCGAACTTGCTTTAATCCACCGGAGTGTGCAGCCCCACCCCCTGGAGCGCTGCTTTATCGCGTTATATCCGAATTCGTGTTATATCGGGTCGCGTTATATTGGGGTAGAGGTGTATATATGTTACCTGTATGGCCTTGAGGATATCACATGGGCCGCAGCTGTGTGCTGATTGGGCCGCAAGTGGCCTTACGGGTTGAGAACCACTGAAGACTGACCTCCTGTATAGCACAGGCCATAGAACTTCCCCAAAAGGATTCCTAGAGCTGATCTTTTAGAAAAACATCGAATCTTGATTTAAAAATTGTGAGTGATGGAGAATCCACCATGACACTTGCTAAATTCTTCCAATGGTTAATTATTCTCACTGTTAACAATGTAAGCCTTATTTCCTACCTTCAACTTCCAGCCATTGTGATTGTGTTATACCGTTCTCTGCTAGACTGAAGAGCCCATTATTAAATATTTATTCCCCGTGTACATACTTAACATACTGTAATTAAGTCATCCCTTAGCTTAACAAAGAAAAGGTAAAATAGATTGAGCTCTTTGAGTCTATCAGTATGAAAGGCATGTTTTCTAATCCTTTAATCATTCTCATGTCTTTTCTCTTACAGAAAGTCTGTATGTCAATACTATTACCTTTATCAATCAAATTTGCAATCTCATCAAAATGAGGTATCAGTTAGTTTGACAGGATGTATTTTCCATAAACCCATGTTGATTTCCATTCATTACATTACCCTCTGGGGGGCAGTTTTCTTTTAGGAGTTAAAAACGTTTTCATTTAAAAAAAGTACATTGCCTATCTGCAGGATTTAAGCTCCAAGCTGGCACGCTCAATTCCCATTAACTTCAGTGGAGACTCTGGGTGTTTAATAAGAGAATTCTACAAATTTGCACATAAAGTTCTATCCCAGTCCAAACCCTCGTACTTCTCTGCTCCCCCTCCAGTGGTTAAATCCTAGAGCCTCAGCTACATGCCAAGGCAGTTGCCTCACCAACCAGTCCTGGACTGTGACTCGGGAGGATTGTTTTACCTCTCCAAGTAATAATGGCTCTCCTGGTAGAAACATTTGTTGTCTGTCTCCATGTGGCTCAAGCGGCTGTAATCATTTGGATAAACAAAGGACAAATGAACCTGGGAAAGAGGGAAAAAATGCATGCACAAAAAATTATTGTATAGATGGGCATGAGCATCAGTGTTCAAATCCAGATGTGAGCTGTCAGAGCCTGCAGATCTGGGGTTGGCCCATTACAGAAATCCAATCTGTCCTAGGGATGTTTGGATCTAAAGTTTTGATTTGGGCCCTGTACGAAGACAGCGGTGAGCTGCACAGTTCAGAAATTCATCCAGTGTTTTGCAGTGTTTGGCACTGTCTGGACTTTGGGTTTGAGCCTAGTTCTGTTTATTGTATGGCTTCAGAACTGATATTGGGGGATATGTTCTTCAAACCCCTCATTTGCATCTTGCTATGTGTATCCAGCTGAGTAACAGCTCCCATTGAATAAGGAAATAGGGAAGCAGATGTTGGATTGTTCTACAGACAATGGAAGCAACACCCAAACCTCAGCAGGTATCAACTCTTGGGCTGCTCCACACATTATGAAAAGAACACCCTCCCCGCAAGCAGGCATTGGTCCCAGCTACGTTCCATGTTCGACAGAATGTACACTTTTTCCCACCGCAGTGATGAGCTGGGCAAACATCTCTGTTTAAGGAATGAGACTTACGAACTGGAGTCCCTGATAGCGCTGCAGTGGGAATCCATTCACTAGGTAACTGGGCTGGTAAGGGCAGTCTGGTAGGGTCCTGCGCAGACGTGACTTACTAATCAAAGGCACTGAGAGGTAGAGACACACACACACACAAAAAGAACAGTTACATGGGCAATGCACCAAACCAAATCTACCCTAAACAGATGCAACAGGACAGCTATCACCGTGGCCATTCCCTATTATCATGTACCAATTTGCCACCGCAGTGATGTCAGCTGCGTTAAACACGCCATCCCACTGGGGTCATCCCGCTACACTAACCTCTTACATTTATAATTTATCCTTCATATGCTACAGCTCTCTTGGGTGTCCTGAAATGACAGGGCAGAGTGTGGAGCAGCTATTTCCTTATCCCAGTTTGGGGGAAACAGCTTATGAAAACCCACTTACTCAGTTGCCCCAGTTCATGTGATGTGATGCGCTGCAACTGTCTGTTTGATGGTGTCTTACCTTTATAAATAGTGTCTCGAGGGTCGGGCTTCAGCATGTCAGCTGGGCGTACCATGTTGCCCAGATTGGCTATAGGTGGGCTTGCATGGGTGGCCAATGTCTGTGGGATATGACCAACCTCATCCATCTTGAAGAGAGTCTCATCTAGAAACCAGAGACAGAATGAGAGAGGGAGGAAGGAACAATCCATCATTTCATCCATGCTAGTATTGTTCCACTCTTTGTGGGCTCACTCTCCAAACTTTAGTCCTTCTAAAATTTGGCATCTTGTCCCCAGAAATGGTTAAATCATTATTTATATTATGGCAGTGTCCAAAAGCCCCCAGACAGGGTCAGGTCCTCATTGTGCCAAGGACTGTACAGACACCTCCCTGGAAAGTTCAAAATCTAGAAGACACCAGAACAGATGAAGGGTGGGGATGGGGAGATCACACTCAAGCAATGAATGTAGTGACAATTGGCACCATTCTGATAATTTCCTGATTTGTTATTTGAAAAGGGGGCAGTGGCAGGGTGAAGGGGAATGGGGGAATTAGTAAGAAGCAGGGAGCAAGGAAAGGAAGGGGACTGTCACAACTCATCATCTGCCTAGTCATGGTCACCTGGCAGGTTCTGAAGACATCACAGCAGAGGTGGTTTTCAAAGAGGGATTTGAAGAAAGAAAAGGTAGTGGCTGTACGGATTATATCAGGGAGTCTCCCCTATGCATAAAGCGTGGCCTGGGAGAAAGCCCAGGCGTGTTTGAGTGAAGCTGACACTGATGTAAAGGCTGGGAACACTGGCAGAATGAAGGTGGGGTTGATACTAGAGACACTAGGTAGGGCCAGGCTAAACTGTGAAGGGCCATAAATGTAAAGATAAAAAACTTGTATTTGATGTTATGGAGAAAGGAGAGCCAGTGGAGGGACTTAAAGGGGGAGGGTGACAGGGTCAGAGGAACAAGCCAGGAAGATCTCAGCAGCAGCATTTTGAATGGATTTGAGGGGGTCAAAGCTGTAGCTGCATCCTCAGATATCTTCGGTGGCTTCCCTTTCATTCAGCATCCAGCTCGAGAACTTCCCTCTAGCTTTAAAAAATCCTTCACAGATCCATCCCCCTCATCTCGCTGTCCTCATTCCTGTCCATCTGCCAGCACATTCCCTTGGCTCTCATATTCCAGGCTCTATTCTGCTCCCCCGGGTCCCTGCACAGCAGGCAGTAGATCTTTCTCCTGTATTACCAACACCATCTGGAACAGTTTCTCTGTTCCTTGCAGACTCCCTCACGCTCTTCAGATCCCATCTCTTCTCCCTTGCAATGGACTCCAAATCTCTCTACACAACATTGAGATCCCACTCCATGAACCTCCCAATTTCCCCATGCTTAATAATGTGCCCCAAAACTTGGCCAGAGCACATCTTCTGACCCAGACTCTGTTAAACCTCCAGCTGCTCCGTGTAACATGCTGCATACACTGCACATTATTTCCACGTGCCTGGATAGGCTGCAATCAGCTGTGAAGCATCTGTGATGCTTTGGAATGAACAATGAGATACATAGACAAATCTGTGAGGCATCAGGCCTGTGGAGGAGACACTTACTAGCGAAAAGGGAGAGGAACTGGGAATCTATGACTGTGAACTTAGTTTCTGGGTCACTCAGTCTCCACTGGAATAGAAAAAGAGATTAGTATGAAGTGTTTATTGAATTATTTCATCCAGCAGGAAAGGAAGAGAGCACATCTGTCCATAACCATATGGGACCTCTGAGACGCCGCCTTCCCCAAATCAGTACAGAACATCTACCAGGGAAGGGAAGGGAATGGGAGCAAGTCTAAAATTCCCCAGGACTCAGTCTAATGGCAGGAAAGGGAAAGGATGGAGAGTGGGGGAAAGACGGAAGAGGTCAGGGACTGAGTGGGGCTGTCCCAGGCAGAATGAGATAAGGGGCCAGGATGGAAATAGGGCTGTCCCTCACTGAACAATGTAAAGGCTCAGGATGGGACGTCCCAGGCAAAGCGGGGAATTGGGAGGGGAGTGAAGTTGTCACCTAATCTCACTCTCAAACTCCATCAGTGCACATGCGGAACCTGGCTGCACAGGCGCACTTACTGCCACTTCCACATGGTCTGTTCCTCTGTCATCCTGTTTGTGAAGCACTTCAAAGTAGTACCTGCCTGAAGCTGACAATCTGTGAAAGAGAGAAACTCAGGTCTACCATTGGAAACATTCAGTGGCATTTGCTTGCTTCATTGCTCTCACACAGGGACCGTGGAGCAACCATACCACACCTTGGCTTGCAACCTACCCTGCTCTCAAATTAAGCAAGGTTGAGCCTGGTCAGTTGTGGGATGTGAGACCTCCAGAGGAAGCCCAGATGCTGCAGGCAGGGCGTGCTAATGATTCTGCATGTGGCACTCTTCCCTGGAAGGCCATACTCAACCAGTGCTCCCAGCCAGTCCTCTCCATGCCCTCAAAGGCTGCAAGGTGAGCCTCTACTTCCAGCTAATGATTCTGAATACCGGAATTTTAGTCCCCTTGTTGGGTTTCTTGGCCTTTAGGAAACCTGGCCAGTTGCTAGGTGGAACACTCTGGGCAATGTTGAATACAATCTCTCTCTTTTTTTTTTCCTAGAGGAGATTGTTGGATTCTTTTATTTTACTTTGCCTAGGTCTACACTACAGCGGGGGGTCGACCTAAGATACGCAACTTCAGCTACGTGAATAGCGTAGCTGAAGTGGCGTATTTTAGGTCGACTTACCTGGCTGTGAGGACGGCGGCAAGTCGACCGCTGCCGCGCCGCCGTCGACTCCGCTACCGCCTCTTGCCGCGGTGGATTTCCGGAGTCGACGGTAGAGCCATCAGGGATCGATTTTATCGCGTCTTCACTAGACGTGGTAAGTCGATCCCCAATAGACCGATTGCTACCCGCCGGATCGGCGGGTAGTGAAGACGTGCCCTTTGTGTTTGTTTCTTCTTCTCTCCTCAACATCACAGTTCCCCAAGGAATTCTGGTAGGCAACCACCAGGGGGAACACTATCACCATTTTAATGTAGTCTGGATGCATCTGATAGGGATTCGAGCAGTTTTATAATCTAGCAGTTTCCCCACTTTTAGGTCTCTTTCCCAATTTTGCCACCCTAAAACATTAAAAAATCATGACATTAAAAATATATATTCTTTTTATTTCCCTTCTGGTTTCTGAGCCCTTAGGATACATGGATTCACTCAAATCACATTTTCAAGCTTTTCTCCACAGTCATCAAGGCTAGAAACTTATTTTTTTCTTCAGGAAAGTTAGGAGTCTCATGTGGTCACTTAACTCCAGATGCTGAGGTTATCAGTAAAATATCAAATACCGCAGAACTTGCAATAACATTGCAAGAACTGACAACGCTGTTTTCTCGCATGGTGGATTCTATGCAATTTGTCATCTGCCGGTGTCATGGATGCCCAGAGCGAAGAGATCTTGGGGCACATCAGGGTTTACCAGACCTGGAATTATTGGCCTTGGCCTTTTGGTAGGCCATCATAAGCCCCTTGGTCTCCCAGCACTGTGGCCCAGTGTGGTGGATTCCCATCTCAGCCAGTGTAGAGCTTTGCATTTCAATTCTTGCTTCCAAAGCAGGGAGTCTTGCATCAAAATTCCACAAATGCCTCAGAGATAGCCTCTGGCCAGCTAGTGGCACACTCAGGGCATGTCTACACTTCCCTCCAGAGCGATCGATCCAGCGGGGGTAGATTTATCGCGTCTAGTGAAGACGCGATAAATCGACTGCCAAGTGCTCTCCCGTTGACTCCGGTACGCCACCGGAGCGAGAAGCGTAGGCGGAGTCTTTGGGGGAGCGTCAGCAGTCAACCTACCGCGGTGAAGACACCGTGGTAAGTAGCTCTAAGTACGTCAACTTCAGCTACGCTATTTTCGTAGCTGAAGTTGCGTAACTTAGACCGACTTAGCTCCCGCCCCAGTGTAGATCAGGCCTCAGATAATGCACTCAGTGGGCATTGTAGAAGCTCTATACCAGAGATGATTGAAGTTGCTCGTGTTGGAAGTCACACATGACTAGGAACCAGGACACTGAACAGTCTTATATACAGTGGTCAATGACTTCTAGCCAGAGAACAGAGAATAAATAGACGGCAAGATAGGCCACTGGATGTGGAACCTGGGGGATTGTCGAAAGGCCTGGGAGGACCAGCAGCCATCGGCTATTGTGTCATGGCACTAACCTGAATTCACACTAGAGAAAGGGAGGGAAGGAGGCTCATTCAAAGTCTGCCTTATACCCCAACCATGCCACCTACCCTGAGTAATGTCACCAGCAACACAAGACTGGGGGGTTGTGTCTTGATAGGAAACAAGTTAAAGGGAGCAGTCAAGCAATAACTTCAATTCAATTGCTAGTGAAGACAAGCCCTTACAGATAAGAATGAATCAAACCACTGGATCCCAGCCCTCTGCTAGTAGGGAATTAAAGAAAGAAAAAAGGCCCATTTTGAAAATAAAATTTTCAGTTTTGAAAACCCCCCCATGTGATTAAGCTGACCAATCAGAACTGGGGGGGGGGGGGGGACTGGGGGACAAACAGAAAACAGTAAATGAAAAACAAAACCGGTAAATGAAAAACTGAAAATGGTAAATGAAAACCTTTGTAATTAGAGACACCAATAAAGCCAAACCACAGGAAGTGGGTAAGTTTGGGACTAAATCCAACATGTGTAGATAGTGCTCTGAGCACTGGGGGAGTTGCAGCAACCCTTCGTAGATTCAAGGACTGGAAGGGACCTCGAGAGGTCATCGAGTCCAGTCCCCTGCCCGCATGGCAGGACCAAATACTGTCTAGACCATCCCTGATAGACATTTATCTAACCTACTCTTAAATATCTCCAGAGATGGAGATTCCACAACCTCCTTAGGCAATTTATTCCAGTGTTTAACCACCCTGACAGTTAGGAACTTTTTCCTAATGTCCAACCTAGACCTCCCTTGCTGCAGTTTAAGCCCATTGCTTCTTGTTCTATCCTTAGAGGCTAAGATGAACAAGTTTTCTCCCTCCTCCTTATGACACCCTTTTAGATACTTGAAAACTGCTATCATGTCCCCTCTCAGTCTTCTCTTTTCCAAACTAAACAAACAATTCTTTCAGCCTTCTTTCATAGGTCATGTTCTCAAGACCTTTAATCATTCTTGTTGCTCTTCTGTGGACCCTTTCCAATTTCTCCACATCTTTCTTGAAATGCGGTGCCCAGAACTGGACACAATACTCCAGCTGAGGCCTAACCAGAGCAGAGTAGAGCGGAAGAATGACTTCTCGTGTCTTGCTCACAACACACCTGTTAATACATCCCAGAATCACGTTTGCTTTTTTTGCACCAGCATCACACTGTTGACTCATATTTAGCTTGTGGTCCACTATAACCCCTAGATCCCTTTCTGCCGTACTCCTTCCTAGACAGTCTCTTCCCATTCTGTATGTGTGAAACTGATTTTTTCTTCCTAAATGGAGCACTTTGCATTTGTCTTTGTTAAACTTCATCCTGTTTAACTCAGACCATTTCTCCAATTTGTCCAGATCATTTTGAATTATGACCCTGTCCTCCAAAGCAGTTGCAATCCCTCCCAGTTTGGTATCATCCGCAAACTTAATAA